TATCATCATGTATCATCATCATGTATCATCTTCATGTATCATCAACATGCATCATCATCATGTATCATCTCCATGTATCATCAAAAAGTATCATCAGCATGCATCATCATGTATCATCATTATGTATCATCAACTRTTACAATATTAATCAAAAAGAAAACATCATCAAAACAGTGCATCGATCACTATAAAATATGGGAGTTGTCAGCTTTAAATATGTTAAAATATGTTAAGATCAGCACTTGCAAACGTATTGACAGCAGTAGCAACATCAACAATGACAATAGTTTCCACAGTAGAAGTAGCAGTAACACAACAACAACAGGATCAGAAGCTGCAATACCAGCAAGGAATACAAGACCTTTAACTGCAGCAGCAGCAACTACAGTAGCAGGATTAACAGCAGCAACAATGACTGCAGCAGCATCAATATTAGCAGGATTAGCAGGAATTTCTTTTTTTTTCAGGAAAATGTGATAATGAAAGCAGCACCTTGGTATGAGATGCAGAAATACCTGTCAACAGGAGGTAATATATTAAACTTACTTGCATTTATATTTGAATCTGTATAATTTGATTTATTTAATTTCAATGGATTGAATTAATGTTACCATTTTACACCAAGGTTAATTTTTTCCTCATTTAGATTAGGGTTGTCGCTGAGAGACTGTACTGTGGATTTCGTACTGACTGTTAATTTGCTGGCATATAATAATACCTTATGCAATCCAGCTATCTATTTTTTACACAATACAATAAATAGAAACCCATTAAATACCAGAAGTGCATAAGGAGTATTTCAGTTTGGTCCCCAAAAATTCTGCCTATTTAAGATTAAATACACTGTATGTTCTTTACTAAGGAGTCTATGAGCTTGTTTCATGTACTTTCTTGCCTGGGAAAAGAGAGCAATTGGAACACAGATGGATGCAGGGAATTAAAGCTCATTCAAAGTATTCTGCTCCTGTTGGAATATGGTTTAATGAAATTGGTCCAACAAATCAAGGTAGTTATAAATAATAATTATAAGTAATGCAGCATTACCTGAGGGTGATTAGTGATTAAATGTCCCCAAAAGCCAAGGGAGCTTGCTCAGGTTTTGTTGAAATCCTTACGCCGTAGGCAGACATTTAATCGCTATAATCAGCCAAAAGATCATGCTATTTGTTTGTAATATTATGATTACCATAGACTGAAAGTAAACCAAAATATAGTCGACTTTAATAAATTATTGGTTAGCCAAGAGAGGAATGAATACACCAATATCCCAGCTATGCTTGAGTGTCTACCCAAACAATGGGTAGTTTTCCTAGTTGAATAAACAATGTCAGTCCAACAAACTCAATTTTATAAGATTTAAAGAGTATTGATTTCAATGTACTCTAGGGAATCATGAGTATGCAATTTCTTGGTTACCTGTATAYAATGAGCTATTATTTAAAAATGCTGATAACTTAATTAATACGTCACAAATTGTTAGAAAGAATTTTGATGTGATGAAGGCATGTTCAATTACTTCTCAATGGGTTCCACAAGTGGTAGGGTCTTTAACGGATCCAGTGTAGTAGAGTCGAGTCATTGGGCCCAGTAAAAGATTTCTACTGGGTCAATGTGAGGGGCGGCCCACCAGTGCCTCACAAATGGTGAGGATAAGGGACATTTAGAATTATCATGTCCACCTAAACAATTAGTCTAATCGACCCTCATGTTTAAATTCATGAGGGATATTTAGACTAAACGTCCCTCCTCACTATTTGTCCTGAGGGATGTTAGCGATTAAACGTCCTTCTGGCCCTCTGGAGAAACTATGGATCCTGAAGTAATCATAAAGGTAAAGGTAAAGTACCTATATTTAA